AAATTCCAGAACTGCCTAACCTGGGATGGACAAGATGAGCAAATAATCCATGGTCAGCACCTTCAGTGACTAAGGTTGTTGAAGAAGTTAATGCTGGAAAGAGTTAATTGATGTGTCCTCCTTGGAGAGATTTCCATATTTATCTTACCATATGTCCTTTACCATAGAGCATTTCAAAGTTTGGCTTCACAGATCATATCCCAGGAAAACACTAGGATAATAAAAATTATAATAATTCAAGGAACCCAAAGGCACTGGCTTTAGAGAGACAACAAAGAAAAGACATTTGAGATCGGTGGTGAAGTGTCTTGCAAAGAAGGAAATGGAGCCAATAGTATATGTTTACACTCCTAAGCAGCTGGGAGGACTGTGCTGATAATGACCTATCAATGCCACTCTGGAAGAGTGGATCGAAGGGAAAATAATTTAGCTTGAAATATTAAAGCTAAGGATTGCACTATTTCCAGGAAGTGGAAGTCAATAGATGTCAGAAGAGAGCCAGGCCCCACAGAGGGTGGGGTGGCACTGTCTGTTCTAAACAGCAAATAATTGACTCAGGGAAGTGATTCTGCAGAAGGATGCCTCAGAGTGATGAATCTGGGAGACCACATACCCGGAGCTAGAAACGAGGGCCCACCTTCTCAAGGCTGAGAGCAAAGTTGACCTGTAACTCAGATGTTTATTCTTTGGTCACCTTGCCATACTCCTCAAGAGACATTTAGCCATTAATTGGATATCGGCTCACTGGAGGGCAGCCAAGCAAACTGACAGCCTAAATGAAAACATGTTTCTTGAAGAACAGATGCAAAGCCAGATTCATTAGACTTAAGGCAAGATGTATTGGTGGGGATTGAAAAGGCAAAGAGTTGTTTTCGACTTCTTGAGAGCTGTTTGTGTGGGGGAAAGAGGGCAGGCATATTTGTTGTTGCTCGGAGAAATGTACTGATGCTTCGTGACACGGTGGTCCCTTTCCCTGGGGAAAGTTGAATAGAGATGGTGCGGACACCTGCCAAGACTGTGCTGCTGACCTTGAGTAGAACGCAGAGATGAGTTAGAACATCCTCGAGCTTTCTCCCCAATATGTGGTCTTACAGTGTACAAATCAATGTTTTTCTATTCTTGCTCTGTAGTTTTGACTTCTACAATAAGCTGACCTGTTACCTTTAGTCACCATGGCAGTGAAAAAAAAAAAAAACGCCTTTATATTAGTTCTTCCTGACAGCCAGGTTTCTGTTACCATAACAAAAATAGCTGAAATATTTAATAAACTAAACTAAAGTATTTAATAAGTTAATAAACTTATAAAAAGAATAGGTTATTTTAGGTAACAGTTTTGGAAGTTTCCCTCTATGTCTGGTTGGCACAGTTTGGAGGAAGCCCTTGGCAAGAACGGAGGCACGTGTGGTACAGCAAAACCGCTCACTTTACAGTTGAGAAGTAAAGTGAGAGACGAAGGCCTGGGTTCCACAGTTGCACGGGGTGGGGGACATGACAGGGACATGACGTCAAAATCCTAAAGCCCTCACATCAGGTTACACCCCGTAAAGGTCCCACCACCACCACACTATAGTACTTTCTTGAGGACAAACATAGCAAATGAGTCTTATGTGGTCATTCCAGATTTAAACCATCCCTCTCTCCAAGATCAGAATGCACAAAGGTAGGGTGACAGTCTGCAAACCGCAGAAATGACTGTGGCACCTTCTGTGTCCTTAGTGCCCGAGAGCAGAGAGCATTAGGTCAGCATCTGTGCATAGGCTGACATGAAGGAAGGGCCACACCTGAGTGTCTTCGCCTTGACACTGGGACTGGTCTTTCTCTACCTTTCTAGACACAGATCATGTATCTCATCTCTGATTTCCAAACTTGACAGCGTCTCCCAAAGGAAAGATGACGCTCCCTCACAAGAGCTGTACCTCCTCCCAGCCTGTTCCTTCAGGTTGTGTGTAACTGATAGAACTCAGCAGAGATTTATTAGGACATCCAGGAAAAGTCACTGGGTTTCAAAATAACATTTGAAACTTGGCTGGCTTGCAGCATGCAAGCCAAGGATGATAAAAGTTAACCATGAAAACAGAGCACAAAGTTTAATACATGGAAATGATCTGAACATTCTAATTCCATTCAGAGAGGAGCAGGTGGGCTTTCCAAGTGAAAACAACCTGCTGTGTTTTAGAAAAGTTTTCAGAAGAAACCAAAACTTATCACAAATATCTACCCAGCAATCAGGCTAAGGAAATGGATGGCCTAGAAAAGTTTTCTTCACTTGCCCTGGAGAAAACTTCTCAGCAACACACAAGAGTTTGGACAGACTGTTTAAAGCAGACACTCTCGGTGCAAATCCCTAGGTTTGTGACCATGAGCTAGTAGTCACTTGGCCTCTCTGTGCTTCAAGTTGTCCAGCCATAGAAGGATTATATTAGTGTTGCCTTGCAGGACTTTTAGGAGAATACAATGAATTAATGTAATTAAAGATAGATGATGATGATAGATAGATAGATAGATAGATAGATAGATAGATAGATGACAGAGAGATAAATAGATGATAGGCATAATAAATGGATATAGACATAATAGATAACTAATAATATATAATAGATGATAGATTAGACAAAAAAATTTGAAAAATGACTATTTATTATTATTGTTTGTTACGAAATTGTGGTAATGGTTTCATAGTTATATATTTTCCTCCAACCTCATATATATATACATATTAAATATGTCTAGAATTTTGACTGATGACTATATGTAGATCAAAGGTCTTACTTCCTGCATATCAAATTCTCTCCATACTTTTTGTTTGGTCCATGTCTTAATCTAGAAATCTAGACACTTAAACAAAGGTCTATAAACAAAATCAGCAAATTTTTTTCCCACCTCTTTTTTTCTCCCCATTTCTGTCTCTCTTTCTCACTGTCTCTCTGTGTCTCTCTCTGTCTCTCTGTCTCTGTCTCTTTCTCTCTGTCTTACACACACACACACCATACAAAGTTACAGCAGCAATAGTATAACTACCATAAAAATTCTCATTCACAATAGGGTAAAATCAGAGGAAGCAATTACTGATACCTAGTTTATCTAAGCAGCAAGCATGGGCCCTGACCATTCATGGGCCAAAGAGAGTCTTGAATCTGCCCACTGGGAAATTCTTGTGTTCATGGCTCTCTGCTGCAAACATCACTTCCTCCTGATATCCACCCCCCCATTCCAGTTTTTCTCTTGACCAGAGAGGTGCATATTGGGGTGTATGCCCTCACGTAAGCCTGCACTTCACATCTTGCCAATAGAAGAGGTTGTTTCCACTTTTGAAAGGCATTGCTGAGTATACAGCAATATAATTTTGTAACAGGCATTTTAGCCCATCAAGATATTGGTAGACTCCTTCAAACCATAAAATAGGGTCCCTGCACGCTCTTCCCTTCTCCTTTCATTGGGGTTTATAACATACACATGTCTTTCCCATGGTCTCATCCTCGGAACACCTTGCCAACTGCAGCCAACTGTTGCCTGCCACATAACATGTGTCTTCCCCCATCTCTTTCTTCTAGAACCATAAAGCTATTTAGCATACATTTCCTTCCAAGTTACTGTTGTTATCAAGATCACCAAAGGCTTTGCCACTTCGGGACATGGATTGTTGCCTTTCCAGCCCCGTATCCAGTCCCTCACACTCATCTATTCCCATGTAATGAGACTGAGTTAAAGTTGTGATAGAACATCATCCATGTCTATCACCAATTTTGGCATTGATCAGGATGGTCGTGTTGGCTTCTGAGGTAAACATCGTAAGAGGACTTACTAAATTCCTCATACACAGAAAGGCACCTGACTAATATTTATCAAATAACTGCTTTATATTAAGCATATGTGCAAATACATTGTTTTGAAACACTTGCATTTACACTTTTATATTCATACTTTTTAAAAATAAGGCAGCATATTGAGGGCTACAGGGAATGTGGCTCCAGCATGTGAGTTAAGTTCCCCACATTGTGCACCATGCCTGGAGACCACTCCTTTGCAGAAACCCAAGCAAAGGAGACCCCATCATTCCTCTGATTCTCAGCATAGAAAGCTTACATTTCTGTTTGTACTTATTATTTATATTTTATAAAATATTTTAAATGCTGCCTACTGTGTAATACTTATTTGAATGAACTCTAAAATACAAGGGAAGGATTGATAGCCTTTGAAATAATGATGTTCTATCCCAGGACTTTTTTGCCTATAACTGTGCAGAGAGCATACTTGATGGGAAGTGTCCATGTCGATGTTTCTGATCGTTCTCGAATGGTTGATTTGTTATGTGATGTTTTCTATTCATTGAGGGGGTTCTATTGCACAGTGATTCATTGTCTGTCAAAGCCATGCATTGACCTCTTTTAATTTCTACACACTGTGACCTATTGATCATTTTGAAGGGGATTGTGCATGTAGATCAAAGTTGACAAAACTGTTGATTGATACAAACATAAGCATTACTCCATTCAGTATTTACTGAGCACAGGCTACTTAGGCACTAAGCAAGAATTATTTTGATGTATATCATAAAATATTTTTAAATCAACATTTAAACAGTGCTTTAAACGTTGGCTATAATTTCAATTCCCGTGTGTGTGTGTGTGTGTATGTGTGTGTGTGTATGTGTGTGTGTGTGTGTGTATGTGTGTGTGTGTGTGTGTGTATGTGTGTGTGTGTGTTGACAGTGGGGAGAAATGAATAATAAAATGCACAACACATTCACCAATTAAAATGCCAGAAGATTTATTCTGATTACAGGCTAAAATGTCAGAAGATTTATTCAATTGCATAGACATAATTTGTGAAGCACGTTCCTTTCTAGATTTATGCTACACATGTGGAATAATGCTTAAACAAGACCAATGTAAAGAACATCATCTTAAGCATTTCCCTGTTTCATGAAAACACTGAGTGCGACAATTAAGGGCAAGTCACAGAGAAACAATCCTGTTAGTAAAAGTGACGCGGGGACGCGATCCCACTGCTTCAGCCCCTTTCCTAAGTTTGCTGCATAAACTTTCCTGAGTGCTTTTGTTGTGTCGGGGAAGTGATGCCAGGCAGTCTCTAGATCCCACTCTAAAGGCTACAGTGATATGAATCCACATGGTGCTAACAGCCAGCCATGGCTGCGGAATAGAAAAATCCTCCGGATACCTGAGACCTTCGCTCTGCATCTGCCTCCATCTGGGGTTTGCAGAAGAACCTTGCCTGCTCCTCCTCATGACTAACGAGTGTATATAGCAAACTCTTTGAAATGTGAGTATTATGGGAAGGATCGCAGTTGCTTTAAATTATAGAAGTTGGCAAGTGCCTGGGAGAAGGAGTGGGAGGCTGTTTAAACTGAGAAAGACGGTTGCAGAACTTCATCCGACAGCATGAGCGCCGCGCTCCGCACACATCCTCTGCTTTTCACCACCGCACGTCTCTGCATTGTTGTGGAGCAGCTCCTGTAGTAAACGCATTTCTGCTCTGAATACTTGTTAATGGTTTCTAACTTCATGGGAGAACCAAAGCACAGAAGTCTCATGTTTGGGGGAGAAGTCTGAACCCAGCAATGCCCAGGAGAGGTAAGCTATGGTTTTTATTACAGCTTTTCTCTTTTCCTCTTCTGTTTGGACTTTATCAAAAAATTTGCAGGAAGAACCACAGACAGCCACTTGTAAGGAGATGAGGGGACGTGCGGATAGAGTGTCAACAAATGGTAAATCAGAGGCTGGGGAGTCTCAGCAGCAGGGTCTCTCCGACTCTCTACTCTGCTTGGTGTGGCAGGCGTCTTTGCATGAAAATGCTGTTTCTCTAAAAAAGGTGGGAGGGGTTCTCTGAAACCCCCAAATTTTGAGCATTGACTATCCAGTGGGCAGTGGGCTAATGCATAGCCAAGATCTCAATATCTGTTTATGCGCAACTCGCTCCTAGAGCTGAGAGTCTTAGAACTCGGGAAACCTTCTAGACTGTGGTAACATTCTAAAATGTCTCTCAGTCGTGGTTCCTGTGACTTATTGTTTATGGACTACTTTCTGTACAGTTAAGGAAACCATTTGACTGTTTCATGTAGGAATCTAAGAATATGTTACTAATATTAACTTTATCTCCCTGGAGGAGAAAAATAAACAAAACAAAAACATTTGAGCATGGCATGACAATTTGAGCTTAAGTCATAGCCGGCTGATGGTGTCGTTATCTGCACAGAGTAACTGACTTGCCTGTTGTGCCTTCGGATAGCTCTTTGTTTCTGTTTTGTTATTTTGGTTATTTTTTCTATGTGTTGGTCTTTTGAGAAGCATCTTGGGGTGGAGGTTTGTGAACATTCTGTGCGTCTTTCTGTTTCCTGGAGAAACACTCTGTTATCAGCGAGCTCCTGTTTTTCCAAGGCAGAATTCCAGGTGCAATCCCCACCGCACCCTAGATATTCACTGAGATCAGAAGATGGATCTTGCAGGCTAAGAGTTTTAGCAGAACTCGTCGTTCCATGAGCACACACGTGTGTGTGTGTGTGTGTGTGTGTGTGTGTGTGTGTGTGTATGTGTGATCTCAGGCAGAGGTTGGAAAACTGTGGGTTTTGTTGAGCTTACGTGGCTGGAACCTAAGGCGGTTAGGTAACCTCTATGTGCAAGACCCTCTCCCCGGTGTAGAAATAATAGCAATTAAAGCAGTTAGGCCTGGGAGAGAATGGGAGCTACTGCCACAGTCACTGTCTCCAGAAAACCTCTACCTTCTTATTATTTTTTCCCTTCTGTGTCAAAGTCTAGTTACATAATAAGAATTGCTCTGGCTTCCCTTGCCTTGAGGTCTTGTTGATTAAGATTGGAGTAAAGGCATTACTGTATAAAAGCAAGGAGGAGCCTCTATTACTCCTGGCAAGGTGGTCAAGGAGCACTATTTGTTAGCTACGTCCCTAGACCCAAAACTGCTAATGGAGCAAGTAGCCCGCGACTGCCAATCCATAGGTTTCTCTATTCCATATCGTCCCTATTTTTTTTCTACCTCTGTGCTATCCACACTAGCCTACAGACCACTACCAGGGAGCAGGAGATCAGACAAGCAAACCTATCCCCCCTTTTCTAGTCCTTCGGGCCCACCCCTGGACAGTAGAGGAAGCCCCCACCCTATCTGGAGGGGGTCTCCAGTACCCCACCCATGACCTCATCGCAGGCAGCGAGAGAGCTGGATGGCCAGCGCTTGCATGGCGCCTGAGTGGGCCCTGGGGATGGGTGCGGCCTAAAACTGCGCAGTATGGCATGACGTGGTTTCCCATCACAGGCTCCACAGAGGCTGGCGGCATCTCTGGAAGTCAAACTTGCCAGGCCCCACCCCAGAGCCCAAGGAGCATGCACACATGCGCGCACACACACACACACACATACACACCACACGTCCCTTCCCCCACCTACACACACACACACACACACACACACACACACCGTGAAGATGAAATCAAAGGCAATAAGGGTAGCTAACAAAAATCCCTAAGCCAGCTGACTCATCTGGGGCTTAGTCATGTGAGCTGAGTATTGAAACATGGACAGTGCCTTAGAAGCAACCAGTCAGAGCTGTCTCCCAAAGGGTCTTGATGAGAGATACCCAAGGTGACCTAAATGTGTCCTTGCTACAGAATCTAGGAGAAAGAAACTTCCAGGAATGGGGAGAAGAGAATGTTAACTATTGAACTGCCAGGAGACCGTGGCTACCTGTCTGACCTCTTCTGTGTAAGCAGGCTTACCCAAGTTTGTAGGCTATAGAATGGGTCTCAAGTCAGTCGTCTAGACTTGACAAGTCATGCTTAGGGGTCAAAGGTCTAAGGGCTAGAAGAAGAACTCCATCTTGTTCAACAAGTCTTTCCAGAGGTCACACGGTGTGCCGGGCACTTTAGCAATGTGCTTTAAAGGCAATGTCACGGTCAGCAGCAGTGCAGACAACACGAGATCACCAAGAAATGCCTTGTACCACAGTCAGCTTCTGTCAGAGAGAGAGAGAGATCCCTATGGAATAGCCTTTGAAATGGACTTCGGAGGCTGAGCCCCTTACCACGAGAAAGCCAAAGGATGGGCACCCCAGCATAGAGGCAAAAAGATCACCCCAGCTCTCCAACAGGGAAATATTTTACACTGCTTCCCAAAGTGAGTTCCAAGTAACTGGCTTCATGGCTACTAGTCAGAGGATAGTTCAATATATTGCTTAGTTAGGCGACTTGGGGAATGTGGAACAGGGCATTTGGCTCTAACTTTGTAGATGGCTGACATCAGTCTCAGCCCTCACCCTGGCGTATGAACTTGGACCCTTTCAAATGTCAGGGTTTTCACTGGTTAGATGAAAATAGCAATGTATCTGTTTTCTGGAGGGCATTCTGGGGGATTGTCTTAGAGGGTCTGTGGGCCTGCCTGTCTCGGAGCACCTGGCATGGCCCCTTGATAATGTCAGCTGTCATCAGCAATTCCGAGCTGCTTTTGCTGCAGGACCTCTGCTCCTTTCCCTGGTTAGCGAGTCCTCTGGCTCTCCGTGAGTGGCTCCTAATGAAGACCTAATGCTTTCCAAAGTCACTAGACCAAGAAGCTTTTTTATTTTTTTAGAAAAAAAAAAGGATGCATGTTAAAAGACTAGTGAGCTGAGAACAAGTGTCCTTAAGTTGCATGAGGCTTCCCAAGACTTAATAGAAATGTACCAATTCCCATTGGCCACTTCACAAACTGCCCTCTCTGGAAACCCAACTGAGATGCTCAGGTCCAAGAAAATTGAGTTACAAAATCCATTTTCAACTTTTTTAGATGGAAAAGGGGCAGAAAACTAAAAAACTAAAAATGCTGTCAGCGACTAAACACTGGAAAAGTCTGTTTCTATCTACTGGCCGAGGACCCAATGGAGCTGAGTGTGGATGCTAAGTCAGCAGAAACTGCTATCTCACTTCCGGGGGCTCCTCAAGAGAGAAAATAAAATGTGTACTACAGATCTGAAATGCAAAACTCAATAATTGTACCATGAAATGGAAGAGAGACTCCAATTAAATGAAACTTCTAAAAAGAAGACCCGAATAGTCAAAATAGTAAGCCCCGTTCCTTAATTACTGCTGTGCGCAGAGAATCCTGCTCCATCCTTCCCAATAGGGCTAGCCCGGTCCTAACCTACAGCCCACAGGTGGAAGCAGGAGACTCGTTCCTCACGCGAGAAAACCTAGGCAGAGAAACTCAGAAAATCTCCCTCTCTTTCCGAGCCTAAGTGCTGGAGGAGGGAATCTCAAGCTGAAGTACATCTGATGCCTTGGCCCTGGCCAGGAAAGAGTCCTCCAATTAGGTGGCATGTCACAAGATCCTTATGAGTGAGGACTGGTGGGTGGGGCACTCCAGGCAGAGAGGACAGACTGAGTACAGGAGAGAACTGAGGAGCGGCAGGAGGGCAGCCCTGACAGAACGAAGTGCAGCCGCAGGGAGCACCACCTAGGAAGATGTAACCCCCAAAAGCCTTGAATGCCATGTCACAAAGTTTGGTGTTCTTCATGGAATAACCACTAAATGAATGCAAACAAGGAAGTAACGTCATGAGAGCAGAGAGAGAACCATGCTGGGAGGCTAGGTGTGTCCAGGCAAGACACGGCGCTGAACGGCTTGCAGAAGTTATGGGGAGGAGTTCACAAGGCCCCATCTACACAGTCCAGACCTGGTCTTTGAGATAGCATCCCTCAGACCTCACCAGATCCACATCCCATGTTGGCCTCCTGCGCAATTCCAGTGTGGTGGACCAGCAGTGTGGGAAGGGCTGACTGACCCAGGAGAGCCCTCCCAGTCCGTATTCAGGAAGATACCATTCTAAGCACTTTTATGGAAATCATTAACTATACTGTTCCCTGTTCGATCACTGGGTTCCAGACTCTTAGCTCATATCAAGCAGGCACATTTCCAAAACAACCTTTGGATCTACAAAAGTTTTATGAGTTTACAGCTAAAGCAATTACACAATAATGGTATTGGCACGCAATGATGGGGAGGGGGTGTTCAGTTTATATATCCCTTCCAGAGGGACTTAAGTCCCTCTTCCTGGCTGTCTGCCTTTTGCAAAAATAAACTCCCCTGTGTCTGAAAACTCTGACCGCAGCTTACACCACATTCTCGGAGTATTTTGAATGGTATTACCCACAGGGGTGCTTTATGAGCCTCTGAGACAACCCAGGTGATGGCATTCAGGGATCAGGAGTTAATTCCCCTTGATTCCCCAATGTCTTACAAACGGAGCAGGCCTAGATCTTAATTTAGGAGCAGAGGGCTGCAAGAAGTGTCGCATTCCTGTACTTTCTTTAATTCAACTGAAATCCGATTCTAAGAATCCACGCCAGCAGGGCTTGAGCTGCAGGAATTACTGGTGCTGCCGGCTCTACCACCTAAGGCACCAGGATCAGACAGTGGTCTCAGGAGATCCGCGATCACACCTGTTACACCAGCTCTTCTCGGTTTGGATCACACGTCCAAACCCTGGCTATGTGCTGGGGATCATTGAAAAGATGACAGAGCCCAGTATCTGAGCATTACTAGGCAGCTCTGGCCTCTGAGATGTAAGTCGTGCTGGATAAACACATTGATTT